TTGGCACTCAGGACGGGTGAGTGATGATCTGTATAAGTGGACACCACCGTAGTGTCCCCTGTCCATGTATGTCATTTCTGGGGTTTTTGTTTTAGTGATAGCGGTGAGTACTTCTGCACGGCCACTCCTTGGTACCTGTCGGCATCTACAGGAGCATGGACTCAGGCTGAAGTGCTGACATCGTCCAGAGTCTTCCTCACTGTCCAGTTCGCTGGTGAGTGTGAAGTATGGATGCTGATATCCACTGAGACTATAATGTTAAAACCAGCTCATTCATTAAAAATGCATGTCTTCTCTGTTTGATTCATATTAAGTTTGGAACTCACTGAAGTTACCCCTACTGTATGGTGCAGCTGCCTCCTTAGGTAATGTATAATTTTTATTTTTATCAAAGTAAAACAAAGTTTCCCCAAAAAGCTTACGTTTTATATATATATATATATATATATACAACATTCAAGTACAAATAAATAACGTAGCAGGAGTTATCATGACAAATATTATGAAAAAAATCGTAATAGTCATGATGTTCTATTAATGGTGTAATGAAGGGGTTAAATGTTTACGGGTGTGGCAGCGGAGGTGAGGAGGTGTGTTGAGAGTGAGCAGAGAGAAACACGATAGAGAAGCTTGGATTATAAACATTATAAAGGTTATGAAGTTCTTAAGAAGCACATCAGTCTGATTGGTCGATGAGTAAAAACAAGACGGTGTGAACAGGGCTCACGCTTCCTTTCCACATTGACTACATGCCTGTTTGAGCATGCTCTGGGCGACTGTTGTTGTCCTGTGGACACGTGGACGCCACCCGGTTGGTGGACCTGTTATTCAGCCCTCTCTCACCGCAGAGCACAAGGAAAGAAACTGAAGGTGAACCTCTGTTTTTAACCCATCACCAAAGTGAACAGTGGGCAGCTTTAAGGACCAGGGAGCAGTGTGTGTGGACGGTGCCATGATCAGAGGACCTCAGTGGTAACTTGGCAGCTGGGGGACTCGAACCCCCCCCCAAATATAAGGCGACAAGGGGATAGTGGCTGAATTTCAGACCTTTGCGATGGTCTTCTTTCTTTCTTTCCCGCAAAATAAAGAAATTGGTCGTCCGATTGATCAGTGCAACCCTGATAATGAACGCATTGGTGATATTTTTAGCACTAAAGTGTTGAGGTGAGTTCATATACTGTATAGATATATATATGGATGGATTGATGATGGATGGAGTTTCAAAATGGAAGGCAGAAAAAAAAGAATATTTCGTGACATTTTCAGTGTCACAGGAACACAGGAAGTCAGCAAGTAGGGAAATCTTACGCGAGAGTTCATTTACTCTTCCTCCTGCAGGACTTTTAAACCTGTTTGTGTTTTTTTCCCCCTTTCGATTCTAAAACGTGTGACGTCAGGTGTGGGCCTCTTCTCTTTGATCCTGGGGTTGGTCTGCGCCCAGTGCTGTTGTCGCAACATTGCACACACCCCGCGCTCACGTAATAAACTAATGGACCTAGAGATGGACTGACAACGACTTCAGCCCATGCCCACACACTGCAGCAACCAGAAAAGGCACAATGCACACCACAGACACACTGCCATGGACGGTTTCTGGGACACACAGCTGTTTCCACGCAATGAACAATGGAAGTAAAACATGGCGCTTTGGAAACCAGTGTCTGTTCAAGGTGCTCAGGATACGATCTGCTGTGGAGGAGTATGGGACTGTACATACATATATATATCTTTATATATATATATATGTATTTATATATTTTTTTCAATAATATCTGTGGTACAGTGAGTAGTTTTACCAAATTGATTAGCGCCCTGTAACGACCAGAGCTCTACAGCGATCTGATCTTTTTTTTTTTTTAACTGCCACATGGGAATAACAGGCCATGCCAGAAACCTGGTGCCTTTGCACATGATGTGGCCATGTCTAGAACGGCCATGTTGCTTGTGGTAACTGGATCTCCAACCAAGTTACTCTTTTTAGACGCTGTATTTCTATGGGGACAAATCTGTCCAGGTGGAACCTGATGCTAGTTCAGACAACAAAGACAACACAGGCCTTGTTTCTTTCATGTCATGTTTTTATTATCACAACAGGGCGGCACTAACACTCTGTCAGGGCAGAGAGTCACCACCCCAAAGGTCTGTCCCTCAAACAAAGGGAAAAGCGTGTGTTCTTGGTTCAGTTTGACCTCAGTTACCACTCGAGCCAACAGTCAAGACAGTTGACAAGAGAGCGTCAGCTTACATCAAAATCACACAGATTCCTCCTCCTGCCTGTGTCCTGACACAGTACACTTTTGTTTTGTTACCATTTCCACTATCATTCAGTCTCTCTTAATCTAATCTTAAATTATTAACTGCCAATAAACCAAAATGGTATCTTGGATTTCTGGTGGCAACTGACTTAATCATATTGAATAAAAGAGGCGGGGCTTTGGAGCCCCATGCTGGTCGGTGATCATCTACATCTGCAGCTGGTTTTTTTTTTTGCTTGTTTTATGATCTTATGTAATGTGTCAAATCTAAGGTTTTTAGTTAAGTTGTGTGTTCAGATAAAAAGGGAAACAGTTGAAACCAACTGAAAGAGAAACCACTTTTTTAAGGCACGACGTCGTGGAAACGCCAAGATAACTTACTCCTCGTGCCCAGTGTCTACACACTAATGAGGGTTATCTCACAATTCGAGTGACTACAGATCAACCTTTTTTTTTAAAATTGTATTAGAGGTTTCAGTCAGAAAAAGCCCTCAGTAAATGCGATGTTCACGTTAAAGCATTTTTACATTGTTGAAATATACATAGAAATGTTTGCATGTAGTGTCATTGATATTTGTGACAAACTTCAACTCACCAAAAGAGGTCCACATTTACCCCGATGCTGTTTTCAAAATGAGTTTTATATCTAACACAGTGATAACCCAGAGCCTGAAAACATCACTGAACACCTTTTTAGAGGCGTTTTATTATGAGTTTGACAAATGATGTTCTTAAATAAAAACATTTGTAAAGTTTTTTCGTTTATGTTTGGCGTTAAATTAAGTTATTAATTTCTTCACATTGTTTCAACTAGAGATGGCTCAATACTTTTCCGATACGGATACTTCCACCTTGAAGTATCTGTCGATACCCATATCAATCTGATCCCTTCATTTCTCCTCCATCATGCTGTGGCTGCTGTTGCTGAGGTGATAGTGTCGTTGTTTACCACCCACAAAGTTAAGTTGAACATTTGAGCTCAGGTATTAACGGTGCACGACCAAACAAAAAATATAAAAACTGCTCATTTCAATATATTCACATATTCAGTGTGAAACTTGAACACAAAGCTGATATAGAATTGAAAAAAGACACTAAAATCTTCTTCCACATCCCTGAGTATCGTGTTTGACATCTGCTGCCACGAGTAGGTAATCGTTCTGTCTGTCAGATGAACTCGGTATTTAAAGGTGATGGGTGATTGGACGCTCAGCCAGCTTAATATAATGGTCTGATTTTAACAGAGAGTTCCACTGATCCTGTTGATTTCTTTTATCAGTGAAACCATAGAGCACAGTGTCTTGCATGTGTACATGGGACTGTTTCTGTTCTTCTTCTTCTTCTTCTTCTTCTCAGCACAACAGTCTGTGATACCACTGGACCACATGTATTTTGAGCATGAATTGACTCCACCGTCTAAATAAGGTGCTTCCTTTATAATGTTGTGGTATATGCAGTGTCATGATTAGTGTATCCACAGGTAGGAACATCATGCTAGCTCCCAGAGAAGACCTTGGTGTGAAAGGCATTGCCTGCTGCAGAATTTGAAGAGGTTTTTTTTTTCTTTTTTTTTAATATTCCATGTACAGATGTTATCATCATCTTCTGGTTGCTCACTTCTTCTCACACTCTGTGTTGATTTATCGTCAATCTTTTCTTTTGTCCAGCACTGTTTTTGCACTGCACCCAATTATAACACATAAAGATAAATCTTCTAAATAATTGATTTCAGGATCTCACACTTTCTCTCCATCTGTACTCTGCTTCTCTTTCATCTCACATGATCCTCCTAACCCTTCATCTCCTCATCCTCCCTCCATCTGACCCATTTTACTTTCTGCTGTATGTGTTGGTGCGTTTCATTAGTCGTATGGTAAAAAAGCCTTTTCCCATTACTAACCATTGTCTCCTTTAACTGACTCATCTTTCCCCCACAGTGTGGGTTGGACTGTGCCAGATACTGGAGCTCATTTTCTCACCCTGTTCCTTTCCTGTTGTTCCACAGCAGCTCGTTAATGCGTCCAGCATTTAAAGAAATCACCAAATATTTTTAACGACATCACTGGTCTTTCTTTTTTTTTCTTGGACCCGATCAGAACACTTTGACCAGAACATTCTTAACTTCTGTAATTACTGCACCTCACACAGAGACCATCTGGTATACACATGGGATTTTAAGCCCCAGTGAGACCCCAATGTTTTGTTTACAAGTCGAGTCTTGTCTTCAGATTTAACACATATTGATGCTGACAACCTGATGCACCTTTTTTTGGTCGGTTCTGTATATTATAGAAAGTGAAACGTGTGTGAAAATGTCCGTGTTGGTTATCCTGTCTTTATTGACTGAAAATTGGATCATTTGTTGTGAAGTGACGTGATTGTACGAGTGAAGTGTTAGAATGCAATGTCACACATACACTACACTGCCTCAGGTGCATTGTGGGGCTGTATGGAGGCCGGACTCAGCATGGTGTATTGGTCAAGTGTTTCCTCTGGTCACTGATAATTTGATAAAGAGTTTCCTTTCAAAAGGCTACATTATTGTAAACGTTTTTTACACCAAAATAAAAAATACGTTTGTTTTAGTTTTCAAAACATTCTTCAATGATATTTTTTTCTCAAAGGCAATTTGAAAGTAGTTATTGTTTATAACAATATTGTAGTTATTGTTATTGTTTATAACTAATTTCCAAAGTCCACGTTCACTTTCTGTGAGCTTTTCACCAGCTCATAACATAGCAGAAAAAGTGTGAATATTTTTAAATTTTTCCATTTGAAGCAGATACATTATTGTACCAAATAATTTGTTTTTATTTTGGTAAATTGTTTACAATAATTGGTTTTAATGTTAACTTTGTGTATTGTCGTCTTATTTTTTTGGATGACCTTTTACAATTTAACCTCTCTGTTCTTCTTCGTCTGTTTTGAAACATCAAAGATATCGCAATATTTTAAGAAACTGCAAATTCTTACATTTTTGGCTTCAACAATCACAGAAGTTACCACAGACTCCTGGAGAGACTGATATATTCCAATATATTGCCTCTCTAGACATTGGTTTATTTTATTTTAGGGTGGAGGCCATTAAAAATTAGTATAAATAATATAATATCAAGCTGGCAGACTGCAGGAACTTGTTGGAATGTGTGTGTGTGTGTGTGCGTGTGGGGGAGGGGCGGTGGGGTATTAATGTCACTGAAACCATGGACACACTGCACCTAAAGAGCAGAGCAGTCCCAAGGTCATAAACTTCTCATCTACTTTTCCACTGAATCAGAGACAGTAGAGGCACCAGCACCGACCCCGGCCTCCCCAAACAACCCTCCCCCTGTAACCTCCCCCATGTATACACACTGGCTCCCAAAGAGCCCACCTCTTATCCTTTATAATCCCTCCCCTCTTTCTCTTTTACTTTCCTTCTTTTCTTCATTCTTTCTTTCTTTCTTTCTCTGTCACTTCCTGTCCTTCACACACTCACACATGCACGCACGCACGCACGCAAACAGAATAGAGAGTGGCTGAGATAGACTATAGGTAGGGTCAGAGGTCAATATATGAGTGTTTAGATTTTTTTTTAATCTTTAACACATTTTCTTTGATATAAAAATCAAAATAAAATAAAAAAATCCTCCAGGCAGTGAAAAGCACTCATCAAGACCTAAGTGTTTTGTTCTGTGGTGTTCTTTGACTTTGTCATCATTGTGGCTTCTGAGTGCACATTTGAAAGCTGTGCTCCACGACTGGACGCTGGTGCCATATTGTTTAGTATAAACATAATTATAAAATGAAATCAAAAATGTTTTTGGCCACCTTTTACAGGCCATGAGGGTTACCTGGTGCCCCCGGGGCACTATACTGGCGACCCCTGACCTACACCCTCCACTTCTCTTCTTCTCTGGGCTTAAACAGCCATACTGCATTGTAGGATTTGCAATATTGCATCAATATTGCGCTGGTAAATATGTGCATCCAAAATCAGCACCACTGATGATAAACACATCCCTGTATACTTCCTGTGGAACACTCAGATGACTAAACTAATTATTTATTCATCCTCTACAATATATTTTAGGGTCAGCTAAAGGTGGAACCAATCACAGCAGGCATCAGGCAGTGATTGGAGTTTAAGCACCCATAAACAGATACAGAAATAGAAGTGAAATGTGTACGCCATCAGATAAATACTCAGGGTTTATTCACAGTACGACCTGATCTGTAAATGGGATGCACTGCAGTCCCCAACAGCAATAAGTTGTTATAAAATCTCAGGTATTCTTGTAGTACACACTCAGTACATATCAGGAAATGGCCCAGCGGCCGGTGTGTGTTCATGGCTCAGAAAACTGCCTGATAAACAACAGACCTTTGTACTGTGTGTGTTAAAGTGAAGTATGTCATACACATGAAGCCNGGGGGGTGCCACAGAGCTGCAGTGGCACAGCTAGCAGGCACACACACACTGGCTGCAGCATGTCTTATCCTTGTATGGTGATGTGTCTTCAGTGTTGTACAACTGCAGGTCCAAACCAGGCGCTCAGCCACGCAGTGTATACACAGCACCGTTTACATCAGTACCCCTCACTGTTTATCCCTTCTTTGTGTGTGTGTGTGTGTTTCTACGCTTTCTCTGTGTATGTGTGTGTGCTTTTGAAACTGCCTTGTGTCTGTCAAACATCTAAACTGCAGATCAGATCATTTGCCCTTTCTTTTATATGGTAAGTTAAGCTAAGGCTAATAACAGCTTTAGTCACATGCCAAAAATAACTACTGTATAAACACATTCTTTTTATTAGGGGATGAAAGAAGGTTAGAGTTACAGTAGGGATAGAGGTAGCTAAAACAATAACCTTTTGCGCCTCCTATTCCAGGGGTGGGGGTTGGTGTCGTGGCAGGGGGTTGAGGGTACACAGATACTGTACACACAGCAGTTAATCACAGCTGGAATGTGGAATTCATATTCGTTGACCAGGCGGTGGGCATAGATTTCCTCGTTTGGTGTTAAACGAATTTTGTGAACGTTCGGTACAGAAATACAATTAACGTTAGCATCGTTAGCCTGAGGGGCTGCTGTGTGAGTGAGCCTAAACCAAATAACCGTGGCTTCACAGTGCCCTCTTACCATTGTTGTCCCATAATTCAAGTAGGAAATGATGCTCTCTGTATCCAGAGAACTAGCTTAGCATTGTACAGTAGGATAAAATGTCATTAGAAATATTGAAGTTCTCAGACAAATTCTCACAAAACATTTGCTCAGCATATCAAACCAGCATATTACTATTGAACTGTGGACCTTCACCCCTTAGGGACATATTATGGAGGTTGATACTTTAATGTCACTGTATTAGTTTTTGTCCAGGTTTCACTCTCAAATCTCAAAAAGTGGATGAAACAGCATTCTAGCTTTGAAAAAATAAGTCCTTTCAGAGCTGTGATATCCGCTTCCTGGAGGGAGGGGACTTATCTTGGGATGTGGAATGTTTAGACAGAAATCCTAGAGCTTCTCTGTTTCTGTTACTCCGTTTTAAAAGTATAAGAAATTAACTAAAATGGGAGGGTTACTAACACAAACTCATTGGTTTGTTTACACACGGCCATTGCTTCCTGTCTTTCTCTTCTCACCACCCAGTTTTTCTGTTTTAAGGATTGTCTAAGTTAGATGTAGTTAGCTTTCACCTCTGTGTTCCTCCTGAGTGTTGCTCTCATAGTAAGAACTTTCTACGAACTCTTTAAAGAGAGGAAAAATATTGCTAATATAATCATATAGAAAATAGTCTCAATCCGCACAGGGGAGAATTCTTTGAAATGTTAGGGTTGAAACCTGAAAAACTGAAGGAATGGCGCTATGTGACATTTTCCACTGGAGGTCGCCAAATCAAGAGTATTTTTTCACTCTGTGCTCTTCTACTGTACCACTTAAGGTTGAATGACTTTAGAGTTTTTGAAGTTGACATTAATGTCATAAAAGTCGAGTCCAGGTCGATTGGTCGCTAATGACATTTTTGATATGTTTTGTTCATTAAAAAACTTACTAACAATAATTATATTTTAAATTATATATTATATAACAATTATTAATAATAGTCCCTTATTTGTAATTGGAGAAATGTACAGCCTGAGTCATTGCAACCGACACAGGCTGCCACAGGAGGCGCTATTAGGGATATGTAGTTCCTCTGAGAATCGAATTGCGAATCGGGGGGATTATATACTATATACTAAACTGTATATGTATATATCTATACATATATATCTATATCTCTCTCCATCTCTCTCTCTCTCTCTCTCTTAAGTTAACAGATTTGTTTGATCTAACGCTCTGTTTCGTTTGTTCTTTATGGCCAATTTTCTATGGAGCTTTGATGATAAAGTTTTGGATTAAAAAACATCTGACAGAGGTTGTGGTTATCACAGCTGTATAAAAGCTAGTGTTCTTAATAAAATGTATAATTCAGGTTTCAATATAAAAACAAAGTAGGGAAATACAAATAATTTGGACTTAGTTAATGTGAATGTTGTGAAGTGATTTGACAAAAGTAGAAGTCATCATGACACTTTTCTTTTAGATAACATGAACTTTGTGTTCACAGTTTATGGTTCATTGTTTAAGTGCAAAAACACAGCACGTTTGTAAAAAGTAACAACTGGATAATGTTTAAAGAGTATCGATGTAACCCAAACCTGGGGAGAAGGATTAAGAGAGCAGCAGCTGAAGCACAGTTCATCATTTACTCCAGCTCCTCAACCAAACTCTACATAAAAGCAGTGTTTTTCTTCTTTCTGCTTATTAGATTATATATATATTATATTTCATTATGGAAAACCTAATAAGAACTGATGGAACACACCGCTCATATTAATCTTCTCCTAAATATACAGTATCACACCTTCAGTTTGAACCAGACAAATGGCTCCAAATGAACAACAACAAAATAGAGTTCATAAACAGCAGAGCCAGATCCTGCCGGTCGGTTTATGAGCAACTTTGTTGGCTTCAACCGGTTAATAATCCATCTAACCCTTCTACAGAACATAAAACAAAATTAGCAGAATGTCGAGTAAAGTCATGCTCCAGAAACTAATTGACGGTAACATAACAAGATAACAACACTAGTCCATGGTTTTTCTAGACTACATGACCTAGGTTAGTGATTATAAAAAAAGAAAGGAAAACTAGTTCAACAAAGCTTGTGTTGTTCTATGATTTATTTATTTATTTTTTACCAATAAATAAGAAACAATTTATCAGGGACGTTATGACAGTAGTTTCTAAATGATGGTTAATCTCAAAATAATAATAATAACTATGACTTCTAACACTGTGGCAACCTCTGAGACAGCGGTCAACTCAGGTGACTGTGATGATGCGTCTGCTGTGGGTGGGACTCTGCTTTACTACTATTTATCCTGGCGGCCTGCCGTCAGTTACAGGGCAGCATGGGAATTGAACCTGAAACCTTCTTGACAAAAGAAATCCAACAAAAAGAACCACAGGAGACCAGGTAAGAGACCAGGTCAAATTGCAGCAACCAGTGATTTATTACAAGATGCACAAAGTGACAAACATGTTGCTTTAATCCTGTCACTTTAATGTGGATTATTTCACACAATATAACTTTCTATCAAATCACATCATGTTGGCTCATATTTAACGACTCTGGTATTGTTTTCTGCCTGGTCAGATTGAATCTGATTTTGGCCAGTATTACTACTATTTTATTAAAATTATTTTTAAGTACATTTTTAAATACTGTTAGGATAAGCATTAATAAGTAATTTGCTGCTTTGGAATTGTTTTTCAATAAATTATTAGTTATTATTAGTAAGTCAGACAACAACAACAAAACATTTTATTCTCTCCAAATCTTTCTGACAGAGCTGACAGTGAAAGTTCACTAAAATGGTCCAGTACTTTGTTCCTCTCTACCTTTTCCATTAAGTTAAATAAATGGGCAAACGTGTTGAGGAACATTGACTTTTAAAAGATGAGGTTCCGTCCACATAGCAGAAAATAAAGATGCTGCATTCCTCAACATATAGTCTGTTTATGGTCTAAAATCTGGCCCTTTACCATTTAAAGGCAGCGTGTGTATCCTATAGTTACATGAGATGCAACCTTATTTATTTGGTTTAGGTGATGTGTGTGGCTTTGAGACATTTAGGGACTCAGTCAATCAGAGACAAACGAAAAAAGGTTTTATAGAAGGTAAAAAGGCTGATGGAGATGGAATGTCAATTTGAATTTATTCTTATAAACAGTGAATAATATGCACTTACTGAAGAAATCACGGGCATGATTTGTACAGATTTTGCAGAGTGTTTTTCAGTTCTCACCCAGGGGAAGACGAGCTCATCCCTTACAGCATAAGTCACATCTGGACAAAGACAGTAAACACAAGCTAGATTTGTCTCCTGGTTTGAATGCCACTCACTGATTTGATTCCTATCTTCCCATAAAGATTTAGATTTAGAAAAATATTAGAAGTTAAAAAGGAGCAAAGGAGGAGGAGTTATCTGTACAATGATTCACAGCTCCTCAACAAAGCTAACAGACGACTAACAGACGAGGACAAAGAATTCAAACTGTAAACATGAGCCAGATTGAATCGGCATTGAAAAGGCTTGTATGGGATGGCAGGAGACGTATGTTTATGCAGTATGATATATAATATAGTGCAGGGTGTCTAACTCATTTCCACCAGGGGCGCTATCAGATTTATGGCTGCCCTCAAAGGACCGGCAAAGACTTGAAGACTGTATAAATGCATGTACTGAGAAAGAAGAGTCTCTCATTTTACTTTTATTACATGATTTGATAAGATTTAAAGTGACCTTCAGAGAATGAAAGATGCCAATGAACTCAATCTTCTATTTTTATTATTATTATTGTTGTTGTTGTTGTAGTGTATTTTCTCAAATCAGTGATTTCGATTACATTTAATGCCAAAACATATTTTCTGTGTTATAATATGAGATTTGTATTGTCATTTAATATAATTATATTACACTAAAAGCTGAAAACCCTGTCTGTATTATTAAATATATATATATACTGTATGTTTGGTTTGGTTTTTTTGCAGGTGCAAGATGATGACATTATATTGTGACTCAAACCTTGGACTGCAGCTCTGTGATCTGCCAAGCCTCAACCCCCAGTGACTCTGAAAGCTGAGCAGAAATAAAAGAGCATTCATCTCTGTACTCTACTTATCAAGCTGTGACAAGGACAGTATTTAGTTTAGTCTAAAACTAGACCTTTGTGGTCCACGTGTCGTCAGCCAAAGGTTTTGTCAACATCTTCCAAATATCAGTTGTTGATAGTTTCTATTCTAAGAAAGCTGATCATCAGGATCTTTGATAAATCACTCCAACATGGCGGCTGAATCCATGATGGCGCCTGCCGATATTGCTGTTGTTGTCCTGTACTTTATCCTCGTGCTGGTGATTGGGTGTTTGTCCATGTGGAAAGCCAATCAGAACACAGTGAGAGGGTATTTCCTGGCTGGCGGCTCGATGAACTGGGTAACTGTGGGGGCTTCGCTGTTTGTCAGCAACATAGGAAGCGAACATTTTATTGGACTCGCAGGATCCGGTGCTGCGAGTGGTTTGAGCGTAGCTGCATGGGAACTGAACGCTCTGTTCCTGCTTCAGCTGTTGGGCTGGGTGTTCATCCCCATCTATAACCACGCAGGAGTTTACACCATGCCAGAATACCTGTCCAAACGGTACGGAGGGCGACGTCTGAAGGTCTACTTTGCAATGTTATTGCTTGTCCTCTACATCGTCACCAAGTTGTCAGTGAATCTTTACGCTGGAGCTTTGTTCATCCAGGAATCATTGGGATGGAATCTCTATTTATCAATCATACTGCTAATAGCTATGACTGCTCTCCTGACTATCACTGGAGGCCTCGCTGCTGTGATCTACACAGATACAATCCAGGCAGTCATCATGATCTTTGGAGCACTTTGTCTGACAGTCTTCAGTCTCATTAAAGTAGGAGGACTTAAAGGTCAATCAGGCACTTCATTTTCATTATAACAAAAAGAATAATTAAAAAGGCCAAGTTCCATTTCACTAGTTCACCACTGCAGCTGCTAATGTGACTTTGTGATAAAAATCAAACCCTCAAATGTGGAAAGAATCGTAATAATCCAATGACACAGTAACAATGTCACGTGGACAAAGAATCTGATAAAAACTCCATTTAACGTAACAACCAGTTTGATCTTACATCTTAAATGTAATCCTATTAGTGGTGAAGATCTGAAGATGCTTCACTGTTTGAAATGGGATTTAGCCAGAATTCTACTTCCTTCTTCATGAGATATTAATGCTCCTTATGTCATTTCTAGAGTTAGGGTTCAAGTACATGCAAGCTGTGCCCAACATCACCGCCGTCATGATGTCATCACCTAACATTACCTATTCTGAATCCTGCTACCATCACCTCAAGCCAAAGCCAGATGCACTGAAGATTCTTCGTGGGCCGAGTGATCCTGACCTGCCTTGGCCTGGTTTCCTGCTGGGCCAGACTCCTGGTTCTATTTGGTACGTATTCTGTCTTTCCACTGAGACCAAAGGGTTTGAAACCTTTCCACTAAAAAGCTGAAATCAAACCGGTCAAAATTGCACAATGTTGACTGACTCAAAGCTCTGGGTTTTCCCCTGCCAACAAAAAAAACAAGAAAAGTTATTTTACTGTCACAGTTTGTCATGAATTTATGAATGCGTCACTAATACCATTCATACTTTAAGGTAGTTTTACTGATTCAGTTTTGTGTGTCCCAGGTACTGGTGTGCAGATCAAGTTATAGTTCAGCGGGTGCTGTCAGCAAAGAACATTTCTCACGCCAAAGCTTCTACAATCATGGCTGGTTTTCTGAAAATCCTGCCCATGTTCATCATTGTTATACCAGGTAAAGGCCTTCAGTAGATTTATATCAATTGTAGAACTTTCATGTACTTTATGTTTATCTTTTTTAAACATCTTGTGATTTTTTTCTCCTTGACAGTCAACACAAACCTACACTTGTTTCAAATGTGGCCCATGAGTAGGACTGCAGTGACAATGTTGGGAAATGTCATTTTTCTTAATTTACTGAATCAGATCAGAGTCACATTCCTCACTGACTAAAGTCAAAAAGTACTTCAATGTACAAAAAAACATTTTATAAAATACTTAGTATTAGTATTATTAGTATAGGCATTTTTTTTGTTTTTATCCAAGCCTATTTATCAGGCTTTATCGTGTGCTGTACCTACATGTACATTTATCACTGTTTTTACAGGAATGATTGCCAGGGTTTTACTGGTTGATGAGGTCGTCTGCATCAGTCCTGAACACTGCATGGCTGTGTGCAATTCACCAGCTGGCTGCAGTAATGTGGCTTACCCACGGCTCGTCATGACAGTGATGCCCGTCGGCCTGCGGGGCCTCATGATGGCAGTCATGATTGCAGCTCTCATGAGTGATATGGACTCCATCTTCAACTCAGCAAGCACAATCTTTTCACTGGATATTTACAAGATGCTACGGAAGGAAGTGTCATCCAGGCAGCTGGTGATAGTTGGCCGGCTCTTTGTGGTTTTCATGGTGATTGTCAGCATTGCCTGGATACCAGTCATCATTGAAATGCAGGGTGGTCAGATGTTCTATTACATTCAGGAAATATCAGATTATCTAACTCCACCTATAGCTGCACTTTTCTTGCTCGGAGTCCTATGGCATCGCTGCAATGAGACAGGTGCTTTCTGGGGCGGGATAGTAGGGTTAGCATTGGGAGCGTTGCGTCTGCTGCTAGCCTTTATTTATCGTGAACCTCACTGTGACCAGCCGGATGAGCGTCCTTCTTTCATCAAAGACGTCCATTTTATGTATACGGCAGCCATCTTATTTTGGGTGTCAATTTTAGTGACTGTTGTGGTGAGTCTTTGCACTCCACCTCCGGAAACAGAGCTAATCCAAACAACTACACTTTGGGGTATAAACATGACGAAGAAGGCAAAGCTGCAAGTAAACAAAAGTTGTGAAGGACAACTTGATACCTTTGGCCCTGTTGACCAGGAAAATGATCGAAAAACTTACCAACCAGTTAAGTATGGTGATGATACAATCACAGACCAAAAAATAGAACAAACAGGACACGTAGGGAGAAAGGAAAATATAAACAGTTCTGGAAACAAAGAAGCTCAGGGCACAGGTTTCATAAAAGAGGACAAGTGGTTGGGTTCCCTGCAGGATGATTCGTCCAGAGACCATGTCATGACCACTCTAGAAGAGCAGACGATTTCCAATCCAAATCAGGGTGAACATCCACTATTTAACATAATCCTGGACATAGGACTAGTAGTTATTTGCTTGGTAGGGGTCTTTCTCTTTTTCTATTTCTCTGTATAGAAAACTGTTGTTATCCATACATACCAACTTGAAAAGTCGGTAAGTTATCAATAATTAAAGTATTTCATTAGTTGTATTTTTTTCAAATTTTTTGTCTAACACTGTATAATTATTTTCTTGTTTTTTGCTATTCTGCAATAGTAGACTAAATATCTAGGGCAAATGTGTCAAACTTAAGGCTGGTGGGACAAATGTGGCCCGCAGGAGCTTAAAAAGCATTTAATTGCCTAATATTTGTTTTTAATACACAGGGCAATGCACATTATGTGTAACTTAATAAATACTAATTGATTGCAGAAACATGTATTAATATGTTATGGAGTAGTTACATCTATACAGGTATAACCAGCCCTTCAAGGTGAACTGTACTGTTGATGTGGCCACCCGGTGAAAATTAGTTTGACTCCCCGATCTAGGGTTTGTATACTAACTATAAAGGCATAAACATTTGAAGATTTCCAAAACACCAGTGGACAATTGTCAGTAGCATACACAAATGTAGAATGCAAAACTAAAAAATTAAAATAATTCCACCATCACTCCACATTATCGTTGCTTTATCACAAAGTCGAAACACGTGATCCAGCGGATCATATATCATGATCCAGTGGAGAAAGTGGAGACTAGGTTATTGTTATGACACAGATTAGTGTGTATGTGTTTATTAGCAAGAAACTACCTAGTGGATCATGGTAGTTCCCCCAGCAGTCTAGGCCAAAAGCATCATAACTAAGCGATAACTCAGTTTAACCTGAGCCAGGCCTATTAATTGTTCCTATAGGAAGGTTTTAAATCTAATTTTGAATATAGAGAGCCTCCGAAACCTACACTCACAGTTGGTTCCAAGGACCTTAGTAGCTGAAGGCTCTGCCTACCGTACTGCTCTTACATACTTTGGATCTGTGTATAGGACTGTGTTTTCAAAGCCAAGTAATCTGTATATGATGGATGAGGAGGATTGTAAAGTAAATCCTCCAGTCCATGAAGCTCCTCAAGTTTGGGGATAACGTCGCAGTCGTTGGACTCCAGCACAGACAAGTCTTGTCTCCAAGTGGAAGGTTAACCACCCACTGACCTGGTATAGTCTGAATAACTTAATGCTCAATGCTCCAAAACGATACCTGTTTAGGTTTCAATTTGGGAATGGAACAGACACTTTGTGCAGCACTGGTTGACTGCTTTCAAAGGGGCTACAACAGCCACATTATACAGCGTTGGACTGTTTTGTCTTTGCACTTTACCACTGTGATCTGTATACAGCTTAAGTTATTGAAATGATCAGATTTCTTTTTTAAAATCACCATTCCAACATATTGTATACATGTCTTCAGACTTAATAATTACCATCGTTTACATGGTATAGCATTTCTTTCTCCTTGATGTATACTTGAAATATGATTTAGTGTTTTTTTTTTGTTCATCATCCTCTCACCCTAGTGTAACTTGTCATATACTCAAAGTTATTATTTATCATTGTTTACTAAAAAAATTACTTTACTTACTTCAACCTCCTTTACTCTGATATAAGCCTATGTTACAATTACTGCAATATTATCATCATAATAACAGATCATAATAAATGATGAATAATACATCTTGAAAGGTAAAAAACTGAACTTGTGAAGGTTCTTATATTTGATATTTACAGTTACAATAATAATAATGCTAGAAATGTAGGTAATTTATGGCTAAATTAAGACATTTATAAAAATGTGTAACCAGATGCTACTTCAATCATAGAAGTATTGCGGTTTTTGAATTATTAGGGGTTTTTCAAGTTTATAAATTGTGCTTTAAGCTGCCCAAAAGTTATAGACTGCGTTGATAAAAAATCGGGGTCTTTACCGGAAGTGCATTTCTGTTTTACGACAGTTGACATAATTGGAATTTGACCATGGTCTATATTTTTAATAAACAAAAACGATTACAACTGAGGTTTTACGATTCATTATAGTAGCTAAATTATAGTATACAATAAAAAAATAAAAGTAATGGTGATCAATTCATTTAAAAAGACGGAATTATCGTAAACCAAATGTTAGAAACGTCATCTGTTGTCACGACAGACAGAGCAAAAGCAGGGTAGAATAATAACATTACACCAAGCACGTCAAACGAGAAGTGAAATTCTAACGACAATTTCCCCACCACATTCTTCAGTTATGAATCATGTGGTCGTCGAAAATGCCCACTGCTTAGAACAGCAGGTAAGCAGCATCGTCTTGATGTGTCTCGCATCTTCAGCAGAAAAGATTGTTACAACGTATTATGATAAATGTTAGCTTGCCGGCTAGCTTAGAAACGCTACAAACAATACGTCCTAGCTTGCGTTAGGTACGTTTGAATTGAACAGCCGCGGTTGCTATAGTGTTTGCAAGACACGGAGTACATATGTGTAAAAGAAATCAAAACAATTTGGTAGCCGTTTTGTCTACTTTATATTGGGTTAAACTAAAGTGTATGATTACTAATCTAGTTTTGCCTGCTATACAACCCAAACGACGCCACTGGTTTTCACTAGCGCTCATTTATGATTAATTTGAATTAACCAACCAGTTATTTTCATTTAGATTGGCTTGATGCAATAATAAAATAGAGGCGTAGAAGGATGGAGCAAGCCGGGGATGACACAGATGATGCAGCGTTTCACAGTTTATCCCGGGGACTCCTGATAAAGACGTAATACCTCAAGGGTTTCTTTGTTTGTCTAGACTGCGTGGTGTGACAAAATTATAAATCTGCGTCACTAGCAACTTTGTCCATAAATGCCTAATTGGACATTAAGTTCAATAGCAGAGCATAGGAAGGACATTTTTAGAATGAAGTTCACTCTACGTAAACGAGCATCCAGTGTGTGAGGTGGCAAAGTACAGGCATCAGCAACATTAAGTATTACAGAACTTTTAATGGTCATTATCATTAAATTTAAAACATGAAGTCTACATTAAATATTTGCCCTCTTTTGCTGTTATCGTTGTTTTATTAAACTTTTGTTTGTGTTCAGTTCACCTACTAAAATTCAAGTTTTTATCTCTGTGGGTTGTTTAAACATGTCTTAAAGAATCATTTCTTTCTAAGCAAGATGTATTTTAGTGCCCTTTGCCTGTAAACCTCTCTTATATAAACCAAGAGTTATTAAATAAAAAAACCCCAGAAAGGGTCTCAAACTTACAGCCCACAAGTTGCTTACAGACCTTGAACCTCCCACATTTGGCCTGCACTAGATATCAGTAATATTGTGGTTGTGGTTGGTTGTTGAGTCTGTTTGTTTGTTTTACTCCTAAAATATACTATACTGTAACATTTTACATGTTGGGTTGTGTCAGGAAGTGCAAAGGTGCAGAGCAATACCGTGTCAAACCAGAACAGATAAAGGCAAAGGACAGACAGGAAACACATGTATGGAAACAGTTGTCGCTGTAGTAATGCAAGGATAAGAATATGGAAAACGATCACTTTCAAAATCCAAGAGTAAATAAGATGACGAATACAGACAATTTAGAGAAAGATGGATATTGCAATAACCTTGAAATGCAATTGTTGTAACGAGATGACAAGAGAAAAGAATCCGAGTGGCTACTAAGAGTTCCTGAGTTTGTGTCAGATGTATGGTGATACCACAGCAAAGATGTATTTCAGCAGCTGTGCAGTGCAGTTGAGCTGCTGGGCTTTCAGTGGAACAGACAGGTGGGTGTTATCATTAATGGAGTAATATCTATGACAAGTGAAAAAGGAGAACAGTTGTGCTGGTACAGAGAAAGTTTGAGGAAGAAAATGTCCATCCAGTTTTTGTCTTCAAGGCCTTTTTCATTAACATGTACTGTGCATGTCTTTTGAAATTTGTACATTATTCTAGCCCTGGCTAAGCATGCAATACTAATGAAAAGATTTTTTTCAGTTTAGAGCTGATAAAATATTTAATTTAAAATAATTTACTATTTTATTAATCAGGTAAACAACTACACTATTTAAAATTGTCAACGACAATGACTGTTCCATGGTTTTGTTCTAACATTTAGTCAATATAATACAGGGTCATTAGAGCTACCTGTATGCAGCACTGTCACCCCAAAAAGAGTATGATGAATACCGATGACTGAATTTTTAAATTTGTTAACTAAAAGCAGATGTGATTGTTTGTGCAACAATGGTGACAAATTGTTGTATTTGTTTCTTTAAAATGAGCCATTGTACAGTTGTTATATAAACCACAAATAACAAACAAAGAGAATGTATTTTGTTTAATGCAATCCCTGATGTAGCACCTGATGAAAAGGAAATAGTGAGGCTCTGTGTTTTGACGTTTATTACACATGACCATGTTGGCCATATGGGTCTTGGTGATGTCCTTGTAATATATCTTATTATAAAACTTTGCATTGTTTTCTATTGCAGTAGAATAATATAGAATAACCTTCATTAGCATTGGAATACTAGCAGTTAAGACCACAGATTCATTCATTCATTCATTCATTCATTCATTCATAATTGTTTAGTTAGGTATTGTCCAAAAGTGTTATTGTCAAAAGTAATTAATTCTGAAATTTTAAACTTGTTCCTTATTTTTAAACTTGTTCCTTATTTTCTACATTAAGGCCACATTTTGTACTTTACTTATAGAACTTGATATCCTGGTCCATTTGCTAGCGTGTGGAGTTTGGCAGGGACCTTTATGGCTTCACCATGGAGGAAGCAGAACATTCATACGTAGCCTTACTATAAATCTTCTGTCATTGTCCATATGATATTCTGCATTCAGTTCATAAGACATTTAAGAAAGTTCATTAGAGAGCTGGCAGGAGAATGTCATTTAGACTCACACGTGCAGCATCTCTACAGTTTTTCTCAGTGTATGACATAATGCAGCATAATGTGTCTTATTGTATTTCACAGCTCGCTGTCCTAGACTTGAGTGCAGCAGATGGACAAAGTGGAATCCCCCATAGTAAGAAAATGAGTTTGTGTTCAGTGTTGAACTTTGTGATTTCATATTTTTCACAGTAATGTACACAGACGCACCTGAATAACAAGCAATTATTTTAAATGTTTGTGTATCTATAGCTCGTTTTGTTCACTATTTGTATTTGACTTTCTACGGAGTCATTAAAGCTTCATGATTGTGTGATACATTTTTACATAAAATCTTTGTGTGTAAAAGCCTTGTATGAGCTTTTTTTTTTTTTTTTTTTACTAAACTCTGCTAAAAAGCTTTGGACACTTGACTTCCATTACTAGTGGTCATAATCCATTTGAGATTGATATTTGAGATTTACATATCATATGTTGCTAACTTTATTGAAGGTCATTTACAGTTTTGCTGTATGCCCATTATTGGGCATAATGTCCACAATGAATGTTATAGAATTTTTTAGGCATTTTATAATTGCATACTATGTTAAGGGTAAGACGAATTAAAAAAGGGTTTTTGGTGCCTTTATTTGTAGCATATTTAGTTGTCTTTGTCTGCAGGGCGATATATTCCTCCACATATGCGCAGCAAAGATGGTCCAAAAAATGGTATGTCAAGATAAAGCTGTCCTGTTTATTTATATTATTATTATTATATATATTATCAGATTATTATATATATAAATTATCATCAATAATAGTTTATTATGATACATTTTTTATTATATAAAACATTTTACTTTCTACATTTTGTGAATGTTTTACTATTAGTCACACAGAGTTACATCAGAATTTTTTTCCTCTGTATCTTGCTTCTTCTAGCAGGAAATGCCTTTGCCGCTGGCCATCAGGGTGTCTACACCATGGCATCTCCAGCTACCTGTAAGGTGTTCTTTGAAGTTTGATTAGACCCATAGTCTTTTAACTGTTAACTGTGTTTTTAGTGTGATGATCAATGAAAGTCAGGGTACAAGGGTCAAGTGCACAATGTAATGGTAAATCCACAGATAATCATTAAGAGTTTGGTTTTTCTTTGAGTTTTCTACTGTTTTGTTGAACCACTAGATGTATATTTTCTCTGCAAGTACACTATTATATTGACCTCGTGGTGTATGAACTCTCTGGATATTGACTATATGATATGCCTCTACTGAATACATGTTTGACATATAGGATATCATATATGTGCAAATTGGATTATTCCTTATGTTGTATCAGTGTACCTATAGTCTTATATTTTGTTTTTTTATTTTTTTAATTGAGTGTTTCAATTGTTTTGAAGATGTTCCAGAGGTGAACTATAATACATTTTCTAAACTTGTTTACTTTTCTGTACAATAATTGAATATTATGCCCCCAGTTATATAAAGTTATATATATACAAATTAAAATAGTGTATTAAAGAAAAATATATAGATCTGCTGTGGCAACCCCTGAAAAAAAAAAAGGGACAAAGCCGAAAGAAAAAGAAGATTAAAGAAAAATATAATTTGTTGGTCCTAATGTGCAGTAAATGTATTGTGTTTCCTGTGTTGATAAGTAAGCATGTTAGATAATGATGATTTCAATAATGTTTTAACAATGATAATCGTAATTGTCTTCCCAATAAAGAATCCCTAATTTAAAGGAAATGAGAAACACATTATGAATGGTCACTGTAAGTGTAGGTTTGGCAGTCCAATGAATGTTTGATGTTGAATGTTTTTTATACGAAAATGTAAAAATGACCTTCATTTAGGGTTCTGTTCTGGAAGATCATTTATTGTCCTTTTTATTGTCTTTCTTCTTGTGCAGATTGTTGGGATGGAGTGCGCAACAACTTTGTTAATGGCTACCATGACAACCGGATGACTGGCAACTCGTTCAATCATGGCCCGCCTAACATGGACAGGGGCCGAGGTGGGCACGGGGTTGAAGGTTACCGAGTTAACAGGGGTGGAGCCTTTAAAGCCCTCAACTCAGCCCAGCCAATGAGATTTTGTAGCTATGAAAATAAAGGTAGGGAGTAAAGGTGTTCTGTAGAATGGGAAAGTTACTAGAAAGTTTGACTTGGGGAAAAAATTATATGATATAAATTATGTGATATTTGACATCTTTGTACCCTTGATGTGATGCATGGGGAGAGCCTTTGTAGACCAGGTATGTCTGATTCATAGCACTAACCCATAACACTCATAATACCCACAAAATAATAGATTTTATGTCTTACAAATGCCCACAATTAAACAAGCTCTGGTGCCATTCAGAACTGAGAAGAGACACTAGTGGTTTTAGCACTATGGTGCATCTTTAGGTGTTTCGTTACGTTGCTCCAAACCCAACAGTAGGCCATGCTCCTGTCTTTGTTACTGCTGTTGGAATACCTCTGCACCACTTGGATTGAAGTAGTATTTTGTCAGTGAGGTTAAAGGCCTGTAACCATCTCCCTGCTAGGTGTCCTCTATAGTTAACACACACACACACACACACACGTTCCCTAATTTCCCCTAGCTGTGATAAGTACGTAACACTGTCTTCATGCATAGGCAATAAACTCCAACCTAAAGGACTATCTGTACTGTGGTACCAGTGAGTTCTAATGAAACTTTTTTCATTGTTGATATTTGTACAATGGAGGTTTTGTTTGCACCTGTCTTGTTTGAAAGGATCTGTTGGATTTCTAGAATTTTCCAGGTACTGAAATGGAGCTGTAAGAAGTATCTGAATTGCTGTGGGATATTTACTCTGTCATTTATTTTGTCATATAAATCTGTAAATAACTTGAGTAAATCGTATGTGCTCTTCAGTCTGTGTTAACCCAGTTTGGCCCTCCACTTGGACCCAGTTTCGGTTTCCGGACCCTACTGCAAGTGAGTCTAAGACCTCTGCCTTACATAATGCACTTCTATGAAACCTATGAAGGTTTTGTAATTGTGTATTTTTGTACTTAAAAGAATAGTATTTATCAAATCTAAAGCGACACTGAAAGCGTAGTCTATCCTGACATGAAAACAGACACGTCATGACTTCTGAAAGATGTAATTCTATAGTTTGTTCTTTTTAAACAAAAATGGTAAGTCTGAGTTTAAGATAGGTGGAGCTTAGGTAGACGTTAACTGGGCAAACCATTTGAGTTGAGTGGAAGTGTAATCCATGTTTGAGTTAATGGATGTGAATGGGTCAAGAAGTATAGTTGTAAAGTCAATGGAAAGTATTTTGTGTCCTAAAACTTCAGTTCTCTGTGTCCCCTCAGATACTGGTAGCTGGAATACAGCCAGGGACGTCTGTAACAGCTTTGGCAACAACAGAGGAAAACCTGCGTTCTTAAATGACAGAGGCAGTACTAACAGAGGAAGGTACAGACGAGGCCTGACAAAGGACTTCTCTTTTACTATATGTTTTTTCTAATATTTTGAAGCAAGTTTAAGCAGTAGCACCAAAGAACATCTAGAACGCTTTCACAGTGTCCCATGTGTACCATATATCTGTTGTTCAGGTTCGATCACGGTGGCTTTGGTGGTGGAGGTGGAAGAGGAGGCTCCAACCGTTGGACAGAAGAGCCTGTTGATGATGGAGATTGGTCAAAACCAACGCCATGTAACGAACGACTAGAAAAGTAAGTCAGGAGATGGTACTGGGGAATTTCCCAGTTTCCTTAAATATGACCTTGTTTTTTCACAATTATAATGAATAATTGAGCAGTAGGTTATTATTTTTGGTTTTACCAAAACTGGTTCAAAATCAATATTTCTACAAGTGGTAACTTAAGCTGTGCTTAAAGCAGCATTTTCTTCTATTATCCAAATGTTTCTTTGTTTTAATGATAATTGTAAAAAAAAAAAAGAAAGTCTACTTAGTGTTGTTATTAGGCATATATTTTGAACCCGTACCACTAATAAAGGAAATTCTATTACAAATGGGAATTTCAACACATGCCGATACATATATAATAATGATGTGACCAACAGAACTTTTCTTTTGTAAACTACTACTCCTACTTATTCTTCAGAAGTGACTTTTTCTTTTCATCTGTCTTTCTTTAGTGAGCTGTTCTCTGCCAGTAATACAGGCATTAATTTTGAGAAGTATGATGACATACCTGTTGAAGCCACAGGGCAGAATTGCCCTCACCACATTGAGAGTGTAAGCTGCTGTTGTCAACTAAAATTCCAAAAATATTATCAGTTAGCCGCAGGAGTGCTAATTGTTTTTGTCTGTGGTAATGCCGTGTAGTTTCAAGATGTGGAAATGGGGGAGATTATCATGGGAAACATAGCCCTGAGCCGCTATACCAGACCAACCCCTGTGCAGAAATATGCCATTCCGATAATCAAGTCAAAAAGAGACCTAATGGCCTGCGCACAGACAGGTACAACGCACAGACATCTTATTGAATCACATTTTATATTGTATTTCTGTCATGGAGATAACACATTTGTCTGCAGGCTCTGGGAAGACAGCAGCCTTCCTACTGCCAATTCTGAGCCAGATCTACACTGAAGGACCAGGAGAAACTACTAATTCAGCTAAGGCTTCTAGACAGGTGAGGGAAAAGCCTGTGGTTCAAATGATGGGTTCTTCGCTGCATGGACATCCAAAATGAATTTAAAGGACGAATGATAGTTTTTATCAATCTGTCATTGCAGTGCATTTATCGGTCAAATCACACAAAAACACAGGAGTAGGCATGTCATTAATCTACACAGAGGATCAGCAAAGCTGTGCCTAGTTTAGCATCAGAGAGTAATTGAAAATTTCACATCTTTTTAAAAAGAAACACGGCAAGGTATTGTGCTGATGGAGCGTGTAAATTGTTTTGTACAAGACAGACGGTCAAGGAGTACATGAGCAGTTTTCCTTTTTAAAAATCAAAAAAAAATCCAACAAAAATCTTACATTTAATACATAAACAGGTGTTAATGACCTTCACATTTGAACAGATTATGGGTTTTAGACAGCGTAGATTAGATATGAGTCTATTCTCTGACAGAGATTTGGTCCTGCATAGTTTGTCCAATTAGTTCATATGGGAGGTCCTTCATGAATATGGAGAAATATCTGTATAAATGGGGTCCTGTGATTGGTTTACAGGACACTGGGAATTATGGACGACGTAAAAAGTATCCAATCTCTCTGGTGCTGGCTCCAACAAGAGAGCTGGCACTCCAAATATATGAAGAAGCCAGAAAGGTAAATTCAATAATGCACATAAGATATTATTGCTGGACTTGTTTTTAAAATTATAACGATATCATTACTATCCACCTATTTTCTTATTTTGTTTATAGTTTTCCTATAGGTCCAGAGTCCGGCCCTGTGTTGTTTACGGAGGAGCAGATATTGGCCAACAAATCAGAGAGTTGGACAAAGGCTGCCACTTGCTTGTAGCCACACCAGGACGCCTGGTGGACATGATAGAGAGGGGCAAGATAGGTCTGGACTACTGCAAGTAAGACATAAGGAGACATGAGGTTTGTCAGAAGCTGTCAAACCTTAGACTGCTTGAGGCTGTCCCAAACAATAGCCACTGGTGTGGTCTGCTGGTGTGTGTGCTTCTTCCAGTTGGTGCCATGTGCATCAACCTGACTTGACCTCAATTTTTAAATATTTGTAAGGTATACTGTCTTTTTCACAATGTTTGAACACTAAGGCAAAAGGCAACAGTACATAGAATAACCATTCAACCACAGGGTACAACCAAACTGTGTGTCACATAGTTATTGACTAAAATTGCATATCTCCACATGCTCTTGTGTATTCCTGAATACTCCCAATACAACGAATACACAATGAATACAGCATTCAAACATGCAATTTTATGAAAAGTTTGTTTATGAAAGTACAGATTTTTGTTTTAAACAGTGTCCCTTTTTTTCCCAGTTATTTAGTCCTCGATGAAGCTGACCGTATGTTGGACATGGGATTTGAGCCCCAGATAAGACGTATCGTGGAACAAGACACCATGCCACCTAAAGGCGTCCGACACACCATGATGTTCAGTGCTACCTTTCCTAAAGAGATTCAGGTAGGTTCTAAGAACACCAGTATCAAGATTTAGGGTTGTATGTTAGGGCCAGATTGGAGTGTGATGGTATGAACATTTATAAGAGACATCATATGGTATATTTATATAAATAAAAAGGCTCCTTAATGTCTAAGTGAAATGTTGGTCACATGCTTTTGTTTATAAAAACAAGATAAAAGATTTTTTTACCCACCTGTTCAGCAGCCCTGTTATGAACTGCTGGTTTCTGGACCATTCCTCTAAAATGAAAATGAGCTGGTGAACACTGATTATTGCAATGCACTCAACCCTGCTGTGATGTATTTTCTAAATGGTGGAAAATATCAATAACATCATCAGTGATTGGGCGATATTGATTCAACTGTTGCATTGGTGTATCTAAAGTTGTACAACGCCTAGTATTTTAAGTCCATATACCGGGGCATTTCTGTCAAGTATGAACTGTAGAAGCCTTTTAGGCAAGAAGTAAAAATTATTTAACAAATAGCAAATGTTTATGACTGAAAACTGTATTCTGTGTACAATGCTGTTATTATATCAGTTTCTTTCTTTTTTCTCCTGTAGATTCTTGCCAGGGATTTCCTAGAGGAATACATTTTCCTGGCAGTGGGAAGAGTGGGCTCCACCTCTGAGAACATCACACAAAAAGTGGTGTGGGTGGAAGAAAGTGACAAGAGGTCTTTTCTCTTGGACTTGCTAAGCGCTACAGGTGATAAAACCCTATCTGAGCTGAAGCTTGGATATGCACTTTTTGTTTGTTTTTGTTTTTACACTGTCTTTACCTTGTATTATTTCAATGTCAACACACAACTACCCCTGCATCTCAGCCAACACAACACTATGTTATTTTACATGAACATAAAGCCAGTCAGCATACATTGCATTGTCTTACATCTGGCTGGAAGCATCAATGTGGGCTTGAAATATTTAAATTAAAATCTTTGTGTTTTCTCCTTTCAAATGTGAACATTTTATTATTAATATTATTTAACATCATTTGCATGCACCACTGGCAGCCCTCCTTCATAACTCCACATAACCATATCTGGGAGACAATGCACACACTGTCTTAGACAGTTTTGGATGAAAGTAGGTTGTACCAGTAAATATATAATACTGTAAATATAAAGTACTAATTGAAAATAAATGTAGAATATTTCAGCTCAGGCATAGTTGTTTTGTGAAAGAAAAAGAAACACTGCATTGTTCTCCCTTGACTTAGGTTTGTGTATCACCTCTGACCTCTGAGTCCTGTTGTACTCCTTTTAAAGACGTGTGGTTTTTAAAACAAACCTTGCAGAACAGATTTTGTCAACAGTGTCAAACATGGTTTACCTTAAATATAAAATCACAGCACTGGTTTTCAATGGGTGATTTGTGGTTTGGTGTTGTCTTATCCCAAGTCATTCCCAGCGAGGTACAGGACAATACTGGAGACAGCATTGAAAAAACTGGTAAGATCCTTGATCAACGGTCCTATGGTTTTCATTCCATTTTTTTAATTACATTTTGCCTGCCTTCTTTTTTTTTTTTTTTTTACTTTGTTCAGAAAAGAAGGTCATATTTTGTCTTGATATCTGTTGTGTGCAGTGTTAGTGTGCTTAACAAAAGACAAAAGTCCTCAGGTTTTTTGGCCTGTCTTGGTGAACTTTGTTTTATGTCCATCTAAAGTCTTTCGAGGAGAGACCAACATTGTTATTTTTTTTTCATTAAGCTAGTTGATGTAGACACGAACCATTTTTACCATTATTATTTAACTTATGAAGAGTGTTCCATCAGTGGCTCTAATAACTATAAGCTATGTTTTTATTATTTACACTGCAACCCCTGCTGTCTGTTGCCACTGTTGTTTATATTAATAGTGTTTTGTTTTGTTTACCAATGTAAACTCAGGGTTCCCATACATCCTGAAAAACTTGGAAACAAACAATTTTTAAGACAAGGGGGAAAAATTCAAATGTCCTGAAAAAGCTGAAGTTATCCCGGAGAAGTATTTCTCCTCCCTGCTATTCTGAATTCTGTGTTAATACAGGTTAAATACTACGTGTAGCATTTCTGCTGTCAAGCTGAAGCTTTAATCTTTAATGGGCAGTGTTGAATATTTATTCTGGCTACAGCTAGCACAGTGCCCCACATTGTCTAAACATGACATTACCAGTGTATCCTATTAGCTTGTCACCTCAGACTTGCTCTTCAGTTTCAACTTTTCAACAGTTTCAACTTTGTTACTGGATTTTTAGCAACTTTTTATACCTAGTTGAGTACTTAACATCTAGAGACATGACAGATGTTTTTCTGTTGCACAGACACAAGCTACTCAGCCTGTCCTGTCTTAAAAACATAGAAGAAGTCTGGGTGAATGTACGTAGTGTAGGGCGCGACTGTAAAGACACTTACCAAGACATTGGGAATATGAGGTGCTGTAGAAGCTTCAAAGGTCCTGGAAAAATCTTGGAAAATACTTTCATGAAAAGAGTGGGAACCCTGAAACTGTACATTTTAAGTTAATAATCTGTAAACCTGTTTAGTCCATTGGTCAGAGAGGTTTATTTGTTATTGACCTTTAATTGCTAATTTTAGATGTATTTTCTTTTACCAGGTAAAGACTCACTGACTTTGGTCTTTGTCGAGACAAAAAAAGGCGCTGATGCCTTAGAGGACTTCCTTCATCGAGAAGGCTACGCCTGTACCAGCATTCACGGGGACCGCTCCCAGAGGGACAGAGAAGAAGCCCTTAGCCAGTTCAGATCAGGAAAATGTCCTATTCTTGTAGCTACAGCGGTCAGTAAAAAGTACAAACACTGAATATGATATATCTGTACATGTAAATACTGTGTGTTGTTGTACAGATGTCATCCTGAAGTGAGACACTGTATAACTAGTACCTCATCATCTCTTGATCATTAAGGTTGCTGCTCGAGGTCTTGATATTTCCAATGTTAAACACGTGATCAACTTTGACCTGCCCACTGACATTGAGGAATATGTACACCGTATTGGACGTACAGGACGAGTTGGAAACTTGGGTGAGGCTGCAGTATCAGTAGATGTACATGACATACACACTATGGTGTAAAATGAAGATGACTTTTCAGCCTTTTCTCAGCAAAAGCTAATTTATATTTCTATCCGTAGGCCTGGCCACATCATTCTTCAATGATAAAAATGGCAACATTACTAAAGACCTGCTGGACATCCTTGTAGAGGCCAAACAGGAAGTTCCCTCATGGCTGGAAAGCCTCGCATATCAACATCAGCACAAGAGCAGCAACAGAGGGCGCTCTAAGAGGTAATTAGCCCTAATATTCACAATGTCTCTAACCTGTGGGAACCTTTCCTCCAAAAAAGATCCACATACTGTATATTCTGAATTATTAAGTGACTTTTTTTGCATGAGGCCCTGCAGTGAACCAGTATCCAGGTGCTCATTGGCTGCTGGGATTGGCTCCTGCCCCACATCCTTGCTCTGCAGGGGATTTAGCAGTAGATAATGGAAGGATATAATGAAAGTACAATTCCTAGTCATAATATTATTAACATCTGGTATTTAAGGTTCACTCCAGATTCTGGATTACTGATCAAAATCCTCATCTACAGTATCATCTGTGTTTTTTGTCATTAGCCAGATGTGAGGGCTTTGCAGAAGTGTCTTACATTGAATTTAGAAACCTTCAAATACTGTATCTTAAATATAGAGTTATGGATTGACCGTTGTTTTTCTTATATTTGGATATTCACTTCCTTTTAGTTGCATCATTCGGCTTCCATCTTCCTCTCAATAAGTGAACTAAGATGACCCACGTGCACTGTAAATTTGGACTCAGTGGTCCAGACCACCTACTGTTGAAACACTGACTCAGTTTGCATCTAACTGACCTGTTTTAATATCATTACCAGGTTTGCTGGAGGATTCGGTGCACGTGATTATCGTCAGACAGCTGCAGGAGCAAATACAGGAGGGTTCAGTGGAAGCGGAGGTCGCAACCAGACGGGACATGGAGGAAATCGAAGCTTTGGAGGCAGTGAGAATTTAGCCTTTTTAAGCAGTATCTGCTCCAGATAAGAGGAAAGTCATGTCTCAGGTGGTAAAGGGCTTCTTTTTTAACCAGTGCCCCAGACCAATGTGGATAATATTATACATCCTCCCACCTCCACATATGAGGGATGGATTTAATGCCAAAACTGATGACTGTTTTTTAAAACAAAACCTTTTTAGACAACCTTCTGGAAGGTGGGCTTATGTAAGTTTGCAAAATGTTTCCCAATTGAATATACATTGCGAATATTCACAGTTTTTTAATATCACTATATCATGGAGAAAAAAAAGTCTGTGTATTCAATAGCAAAATGGGGTAGTTAGAGGTATGACTTTACATGTGTTGTGTTTTTAATTCCCACATACCTTTTCTCTTTCTTTGTTGTTCTCAGGTGGTTTCGGTAACTTCTACTCCAACGATGGCTACCGAGGCAACTACACACACTCTCAAGTGGACTGGTGGGGCACCTAGGCTCCTCCATCCACCTTTCAGTCTTTTATCCTTGTTCCTCTTGTCCTTTTTCCTATTTGCTCACTCTTGTCTGAAATTTTCCACTTAGGGATGGGCATTTCATTCAAAAATACAGTTGACTTGTCACTTAGAGGTACTTGTCGTTTTATCACTGAAGGGGAAAAATATGTATAGAATTGCATATACAATTCTTATTTTACATTTCCGTTAGTCTTTCTGCTTTTCTTGATAATCACACACTTTGTTTCATATTTTTTGTTGCCACATTCAGTTAGGTTCAACTGTTGCACCGTGAGATGGGACTATTCCTTTCTCCCTGCACTGCAGCCGTACTTAGAATTTATGCTCTCAGTCATCACAGGACAGGTAGGTAACGTCATCAGATTTACTTTAGGGTCTGAACAGATTGTGTTTCAGATTCAGAATGTTGCTGGAAAAGAGTAAAAGTGAAGTTGACCCTTACTGTATCAGGTCAGTATATCATGATACTGTACCATACAACAGAAAGCCTGTCAGTTAGTACTAGGGTAGTCACCACCGTTGGACAAACACCGAACACTGCAATGAC